AACTATACACACTGTAATAAAAAAAACTAAATTTTAAGGCAAAAATGTTGAACCATGTCAATAAAACTACGACCCAAAATGTTCAAATTATCTTTCGTCTCTAAAAACCAACAGTAATTAAATACAGACAAGATGATGATATTTTGATGTGTGAGCTCTGTGAGAGGTGAAGATTACCAAAATGAAAAGATATTAAAGCAGGGGTCACCACACTTCGAGACTAGGAGCTACTTCAGGGGTACCGAGTAACACGAAGGGCTATTTTATACAAACATAAATTTACACGGCTCATCTTTAATTATAGTATTATTTATGATAAACTTATACATGTAAATACTTAACTCCCTGATTAAATCTCAATGTTAAAGACTCCTCATGGTAATCATAATTTACTGTGGTAGATATGACAAATTATTATTTTTATTATTAATAAGTAATTTAAACTTTGTGCAGCAGCAGGGGGATCTGATTCTAGAGTTCCCAGTTTGAAACCCTTCAGTGTGACCGGAGTGTAAATAGTTGTTTGTGTTTTTGTGTTTCTGTGATGGTCTGAGATCTGAGAAAGGCTCCACCCTGACCCTGAATAAGAACAAGGAGGACAGATTTTTTTATAACAGAAAACACATATTTAAACACAAAATATTTTAAATCTCAATAGCATTTATAATTTTGTGTATTTTGTAAATGTAAAAAAAATGTCAAAATATTTGACAGCTTGTAGGAATGAACACATTTGTAACATTTATTTAAAATACACCTGTTTAAAAAACAGGTGTAGCTTATTTCTTTAAGAAAATTGTAACCTCTTTTCCATTTTTAAAGAAACTTTTACCAGTAAAACAATTAACTCATGCCGTTTGTGCTCATCATTTGTACTAGCTCTTGTAGATACAAAATATCAATTATGTAATTTAAAAAAACAAGTACAGAAAAAAATTTCCTCAATCGTGAAAATAATTTGCTTTCCTACGTTTTAATGCTCGTTTCCCCTCTACTCAGAGGTAAACAAACTGAATATCTGTGATGTAAGGGTTAATTTTCTGAAGGGTGGGGGTTGGGGTGGAGTTCAGTGTGTGTCTGTGTGCAGCTGCAGGACAGAGAGGGACTCACATGGAGACACAGGAGAGAACTTGTTGAGAGTTTGTTGAGTGTTTAACAGGAGTTTAACGTAAGATGTGGCTTTAACATCTTAAACTTAAACATCCTCGCTGCAGGATGGAGCACTTCCGTAGGTCATTCATTCCAACTGCAGTTAGACTGTATAACACATCACGATGTCATCAGTTAGACTGTATAACACATCA